TGTGTGTTTCCTTCATGCGTCATTCTCAGAGAGTCAAATATTGTTTTAGTTGATTCTCTATTCGTGATTTTCTCATACTCAGTGTACGAGATAACACTTAAGAGAATTGTTTTGGCCTTGTGATGATTTATAAATTCTTTCTTTTGTTGATTTGTCATCCTCTTTCTGTCGATCTTCTGATCGCTTTCGTCAACTGGATGGATGTAGCCGTCAGTTACCATATCCCATAGATCAGCATCATGAGCTAGAAAGAAACTTTTGATTCTGTCTTTCCAGTAATCGAAGTTCTCACTATCAAAGATTGGAGGTTTTCCGTTGATTCTGTCTTTCTATTCATGATTATCATTGTTAATGATCTGACTTGGTCCCACGATAGTGTTTTTCTTACTAGGATCTTTTTTTGACACGGTTAAGTGTTTGCACCCAGAATCAGGCGCTCTTATGCCATTTGAAGGATAGAAAAACACAAGAAGGTGGGTTTGAATTGGGGTTTTCAAAAATAAAACAGTATGACACATTGGTTATCCTGGTACGTTTGAACTCAAACTATTCCAGTCCACCCGCCAAGGTGATTTCGCCTCTCTCAACAAGGTCTTAATCCACTAATAAAAACTTGATTACACAACACAATGACTACTGACAATATCTTCTTGATTATAAACCACAACTCAGTTTCTCAAGGTATTACAAAATATAAACCAATAAGGATGTTTAAAAATTATGTTTCTAAACAAAACTATATACAACAGTGATGTATACACAATGTTAAAGCATAAGAGAGCTAGTAAAGATATTTCTTTTTGACGCACAATAGTGTTATGTATTGATTCTTCTTCATAGTCTTCTTTTTATAGGCAAGGCATAAGGGACATGAGAGGATGTATTTGGAAGGTTGATAAAGTGTCGTTAATGCACTTTTCAAAAATACAGATCTTGTCTTGGTTCAGTCGTTACTTTTTTATTTGTAATGAATGAGTTATAACACATTAAAACTTTTCTTCCTTGGGATCTTATTCCTGTTGATACTTTAGATCCTCATGGTTTCTTTCATATTATTAGAACTTGGATGAGACAAACACGTTGATGCTTATTTGCATTTTTCAGAGTATTTACTTATCAGAGTGTAGCTTGAGCTTAAGTGTTGAATCTTTAGAACTTGTATAAATGAGTGTGTTGAGACTTCTTTTGTTCTTCTAGAACTTTACTTATCAGAGTATCAAATTTTTACAAGCAGCGTTGGTGCTTCAGAAGTTATAACATCATAACTTCTTCTATTAGTGTGTTATACGGATTTGCTTCTAAGTATGTACGTTGTGTCTAATCAGAGCTTTAAAACATAAATCTCTCATCATCTTGTATGCAATTTTTATCAGAACTTCTCTGCATATTTAAATACATTATTAGATAGCGTATTATATATATATATATATATATATATATATATATATATATATATATATATATATATATATATATATATATATATATATATATATATATATATATATATATATATATATATATATATATATATATATATATATATATATATATATTTGTTATCATCAAAACTATTGCTAAGATGCAGAACAAAACTATGTTCTAACACAGATTGTTTTCACAAGGGTCTGGTTATGGTTCAACATGTGTGTGAAGTGGTAGCTCTTGACTATGCGAATTTGAAGTCTTTATATGACTTTATTTGGTGCTCAAATGATTAATCTTCAGCAAGAGCATTGTTTATCCATGATAGGGGAGTTAAGTACTTGTCTATAGATTGTGACTGCAATGGTGCAGTTTTTTTTAAGCTTGTATGCTGATCAAGCTTGTGAAGCGTATTTATCTCTGGTGAGCTTGTGATGTTAAACAACATGTTGTGACATTAGATTGCTGGATATGTATGGTTTAGCTATGTGAAGCTAGTTGTTGAATCATGTGCTCACATGCTTCTTAGGAGCATTCTGGAGGGCAATTTTGTTTGTATCTGGGAGAATTTATTTTTCTCTACAGTTTTTGGAAGGACTCTATCAGAGGTTTTGGTTGAATGGGAGTTGTCACATGTGATATTCTTGATATTTTAATTTATGTTGGACAAAAGGAGTATATGTAGAGAATAGTGGAAGACATTATGTTTATGCTTCAGAACATGAATACTTCTGTGAGCATCTTGGTCTGATAGTTGAAGATGTGCGGTCAAGCTTTTTTTAAGAGGAAGTAGACATTGTCTTGCTGGATGTCAGGACTTTGTTCATGACATATTTCCTTGGAGACCAATGAAGGAGTCTTATAGACGGTGTGATTAAGCACATATCAGAAAGGAGTGTTGATAGTTTGTTTGACTGTGCATGTGCATGTATTTGGACTATTTCTTATTAGAAGAGTCATTCCAAGACAATAAAAGCATTCAAAGTTGTTTTGGTCGGTGCACATTGATTTTGGTGGCAGCTTTTCTCCTCAAATAATATTTCCTTTTGACAAATATCACTGATACATTCAAGAATTGTTATTTCCCAAGTAAATGTTTAGCTATTTATAGAGGTTACTTATGACCTCTTTCACCATAGGAGTGTTTGGTGTATTCATAATCTTTATGACTTTTGTTCGGTGGGTAAGTTATGCTTGGGTATGATTTTGTGAAGGCCTTCTCTGCCAATTTTTGGCTAAAAAGAGGGAAAAAGGTTTTGTTCAGTTGTTGATGCCACAAGAATGCGTTTTTACAAGTGTTGTACACATATGTCGGATAAGATGTTTGATCTTATTTGTGTTTTGTTTTATGACCTGTGATCTGAGTTATGAAAACGGTTGTGACATGTATTCTGAGTTACCTGGGATAGTGGTAGGTTGGTGGTTAGTTGCTGATTAAGGGTTCTCTTATGTCACCATTAGTCTTTTAAATTTTGGGGTTGAAGATAAGTGTTACTTATCTTCTTCCTCGTGTGCACCAACTGACTTCAAGACTTTTTATTCTCCTATCCTGAGGTTGATGCTCTTTGGTGTTGATTTTTTGTGTTGCAATGGAGTTGTTATGAAGAAGATGTCAAACATGATATCCTAACATCATTGTGCTTATGAAGAGATGTCCATCCATGTTGCTATGCTGCTGTGTTCAATAGTTTCTGAAGACTAATGTTGATGGGTGTATTTTTTATTGTTATAATATGGATTGTAATTTATATTATTTGTTTTAGCCAAAAAATTTCAAAGGGGGAGATTGTTAGTTCTCTATTTTTAGGATTGACATTAATTTTAGTAAAATAAATATAGTATCAATATGTTAAAATAGGATATGTTAACTTGTTGAGAAGAACATGTTGAATAAGAAGTCTTATTTTATGAAGAACATGTTGAGTTGAAATGTTTCAACATCTGAAGCAACATGTCAGACAAGATGTCATATACAGGATCATACGACATCAGGACTGTTATGGACTGGGGTGATGGATCGGTTCAGGATTTAACAGATACAGAATATTTTGGGAATATTACCTAGTCCCATGTGGCCATGTTTAATAGGTCTGGAAGATTCAAGTCAAAATTAAGAAGAATATTGAAGAATATTGACTTTCTAATTATGGAGATAAATTAGGAAATATTTGCTTGAAGACCTATTTAGTAGCAGAAGTTTCTGCTGATTTGTAGCAGCTGATATGCTGTGATTTGAAGTCCAAATCCAATTTGGAAAATGGTTATAAATAAAAGCATTGTAACTTAGAAGAAGGTATCATCCGTGAATGAAAAGATGTAGTTATTAGGCCTGAGTCTGTAAGCCACTCTCTAGGAGAGTTGGTCTATGTTCTCCTTGAATTTGTGAAGCAAGAGTGAGTATTGTTCTTGGAGGAAGCTTTTAAGCAACTCTAAGTATTATTCTTAGTCAAGAGTCTTGACTAGGTATTGTCATGGAATTGTGTCTTCTAGTTATGTTATGAAAGTGTGTCTTCCTATTTGTTCCCAGCCGTTGTTTGTGAGTAAGGGGAGTTGAGAAAGGGCCTCATACCTAGGTGAGTCTTAGATAGAAAGTTAGAACATGTAGTGATTAAGTGAGAAGTTGTAAAAGGGGGAGTTTAGATTCGAATTGATAATATATAGTGAACTTTATCTCTGACTTGGTATGCCCCAGAGTATGAGAGTTGCTCCGAACTGAGTTAACAATTCTGGTGTAGTTTACTTTTCAGTACTGTTTTGTATGTTTATTACTTGCTTGTGTGTTTTGTTCAAATCAGATGTCTCGACATGTCATAGGACATTTGAAGTCTGATATACCAGAATTTCATGGTGGATGTAAAATCCACCAATCCTATTATATATAAAAATATTGAAATTAATTTGATTTGAAAAATTGCTTGAATATGTACAAAGTTAATGATTATTTACAAAACACGAAGACGTTTAATTGGGGAGAAAATCTAAAGTACTATAAAATATTTATTTTTATTATTTCAATTTCCCTTAATAATAATAATAATAAAACTAAATTAACTAGGCTAATAAATCTAAATTAATTTAATAAACCTAGCAACTAAGTTAATGAAACTAATAACCTAATAAAATGTTTTTCTTTGTTTTTTTTTGTGCATATTTGATTTTAGAATTTATATAAAAAAAATTAATTAAGATAATCAATTAAAAGATAACAAAAAGAGTTGACATGGGGAGCGTCCCCTTACTTTCAATTATTTGCCAGATCAAAATAAAATAGAATAAAAATCACCAGTACTATGACTCATTCAAACTTTCACAAAGGTCCAGTGGTATGTCGACACGTGGGATCCCAAATAAATGAATAAAATAAAATATATGGTAAAGAGCAATATATGTGATATCAGACATCAAGAAAGAAAGAAAATAACATGAAAACCCCAATCTCTCTTCTTTATCTTTTTTTCACGAATTTTCTAACAACAACACTCTTTTCACAGATTTAAACCCAAATTTGCATAAAACTAAGCAAAATCAAAATTCCATCTCCTTCACACATACAACCAAAGGAAAGGCTGACATACCTAGATCTTCAAATTGACGGCGAGGATGACTGAAATGATGTGCACAGGATGTTTCCGGCAGTGATTCGGGGAACGTGGCGGCCGTACGGAAGCAAAGGCCATATTGCAGTCGATTCGAAGGCAGAGGCACGAGTGAAGGTCGAGTGATTCCCGCGGCGGTCTGGGTGGCATGATGTTAAAGGGCTTACGACATCGGTTCGTGGCTGATGCAATGCTTCGTCGCCGGTGATGTGTTATGCGGAAGAGAGCATGGGTGGTCATACGGTGCGGTTGTGTGGTGTTCTCGCGGTGTTGACGGGATCTGGTCGTGAGTTCGTCGTTTCACATTATTTCTTTTTCTTTTTCTTCCTGAATTCGATAATCTTACTTATAACTGCAGGTTGTTAGAAGGAAAAATTACGGCCTGTTAATGATGTGTTGTTGTAGTTTTGGTCTGCTTATGATTTTACAGGTTGATCCAAGTTTCATCATTGTGGCCATGCTTTTGTTTTCAATGGTGTTTTATAGCTGTTGAATGAAAAAGGCTATGTTTTAGTGGAAATTTTTCTCTTATGACAAATACTTTGTCGGGACCTAGGTGTAATTCTGATCTGACGAAGGTTGTGCATGAGACTGATGTAAATACTTTGACGGGAGTTGAGTATTTGTTTGATGTGTTGATGCGAGTCTACAATCTGATGTGTTGAGAATTTATTTTTCTCATGTGGCTATTGTTGAGTAGTTTGGGATAGGAAGCTGCTAACTACTAAGAATTTATTTCTCTATGTGGTGCTCTGGTATGTGACAATCTGAATTGGCTGCTGAAGGTGTGTCATTGGAGATCTTTTGGTCTCAAGGACATTCTAGTATAATGAGTTCCTTGAATGGTGTTTGAATAACCACGGTGTTTGGGTTCTGTATTTTAAAGTTGATGGTGTAACAACATGTTGGGTTGTGTTTGGAAGATGTGTGGGTTTGGGCATATGGAGTTGGATGCTCAAGCATTGTTGTCATAAGTGGTAGTTCTGACTATGGGGATTAGAATGTGCAGATCTTAATCCTGTCTACAGTAGTATGCTTGATGAACGCATGACTACTGTGTTGAAGACCCCACTAGTCTCAGCAACTACTAGTGAATGTAAGGGCAGAAGAATGTTATCAGATACGGAGGTCTGATCTTATTAGGATATTTTGAAGGTGTTTTATCTTCTGTTGCATTTTACTCTACAAAAGATTGGGTTTGTCTGGATCTCAGTAAGCTTTTAAGCAAACTAAGAATTTATGGAGAAGTCAGAGGGCTTGGATGTGCTCTTAAAGAGTTAGAGGATCTGGTGTGTTTTCACAAGAATGTGAATATGTTTAATAGATATGTGAAGTTGTGGTCCTTCATTATGAGCATGTGAGAATCTTCATGTGCGCTCTTCTGGTGCTGAAGTGGTTATGATCAGAAGGAACACTGATTATCCATGACAGTGAGAGTTAGTACTTGTTTATGGAATATTGCTGCAATGATGCATATTTTTTTGAAGCTTGCATGTTGTTCAAGCTTGTGGCGAAGTTATGCCTCTTATGAGGTTGTGATGTCAAATAACATGTTATGACATTAGACTACTGGATATGTATGGTTCTAGATAGGTGAAGCTAGTTGGTTAAATCATATGCTCACATGAGGAGTCTGAAGGGCAATTGTGTTTATATCTGAGAGAATTTATTTTTCTCTGCAGTGTTTTGGAAGGACTCTATTAGAGGTTTTGGTTGAATAGGAGTTGACACATGTGATGTTTTGGGTCTTGTTATTTTGATGCATGTTTCTATTGCTGGCCAAAAAGAGTTTTCGTAGACATTGGGATTATGCTTCAGAATATGTGAATATGTCTGTAAAGCAGTTTTGGTATTTTGACTAAATCAATTTTTTTCCTTGAGTATGGAAGAGCAAGTAGACAATATTTGACAGGATGTCAGGACACTTTTTAGGACATGTTTTCTCCTTGGGACAAACAAGAAAGTATTATGGACGGTGTTGTCAAGAGGATGTGTAAAATGTGATTTGTGTTTCTGCTTGTGCACTTATTAGAATTATGAAGACATTCAGAATTTGTCTTGAACTGTGTATATTTTACTTGGTGATCTCCCTCAAATAATATTCTCATTGATCAAGACCGTTATTTCCTAAAAGAACTGCTTGGCTATTTAAAGAGGTAAATTATTCACCTTGTTCATCCTGTGGGGGTTATTCTTTCTCTATTCTTATGGCTTGTGTCTAGATGAGAGGGTTTTGTTTATCAATTTTTGGCTAAAAAAGGGGGAGAGAAGTTCTATTCAGCTGGGAGTCTGAAGTTTGTTTTTAAACCAGTTTCACAAGGATGTAAAATAAGCTATTTTGCTCTGAGTCTGTTGGTTTTAATATTTGTGACTTGTGATTTGAGTTATGAACACAATTGTGACTTGTGTTATGAGTTACCGAATTGAAGGTATTGTGGGTGTTGTTTTAAGATGTGTTCTTAGTTTGAGGGGGAGTATACACCTAATGTTATTCAGGAATTTCTTCCTAAATTACTCTGAGGGGGCTGTAATGGATTGGTTCAGGTTGTTGTGAAGAGATGTCGGATATGATGTTCTAACATCAATCAGATTAAGTATATTACTTCTCCCTGCTGTATTTGACATATTCTGGCTAAAAAGGGGGAGATGAGATCATGTGTGGAACTGTAGTGTTGGAGTGTTATGAAGAATTTCTATTATTGATGTTATGACATCATGACTGAAGACAGTGAAGACTAAAGACTGTCAAATGTGTGAAGACTAAAGACTGATTGCTTATGATGTTTTTAGTTTATGGTTGCTGCTGAATATATTGTTTGTTTGCCACTTGCCTATGATTTATGATCTTATTTGTATGCAAATGTTATGTAAATTAGTTTTATCCAAAATAAGCCAAAGGGGGAGATTATTAATTCTTTAGTTTTATGATTAACATTATGTTTGGTAAAATTAATATAGCAGCAATATATTAAATAAGATATGTTAACTTGTTGGGAAGAATAGGTGGAACAAGAAGTCCTATTTTATATTGAAACATGTTGAGATGAGAATTCCTCATCATCTGGAGCAACATGTCGGATAAGATGTCCTATGCAAGATCATACGACATCGCACCTGAGCTAAGCTGAACAGTTGGATTCTGTTATATTTTAATAGATGCAGAATATTCTGGGAGTATAATATAAGTCCTATGTGGCGTTGATTTAGACAATACTATAAATAACGCATGTAATATCAGACGTGAAAGGCATTTTACCTCGGTATCAGAAGCGAGGTAAATAAGGTCGTCATGAAAAGTAAAGACTTATCACCTTGTTGTTTAAAATATCGATGGGTATTTTAATAGCGCATGGGTTCGATCCACAACGTCTGCATTTTTATTATTTTCAATAGTAGCGCCTCATGTGTCTCGATTTTTTAATAAAACCGAGGGGTAAATTATTTGTTTATTTATTTAAACTGATTACATTGTTTATACAGAAAATTAATAAAATATTTTATTTACAAAATATAATATTTATTTAGAATATTAAACTGGTTACATTGTTTACACATAATATCAATACAAAATTTAAATTTTCCATGAAGAACCATATGTTGGATATTCAAATCCTTGATATCCTGGGAAGATCAAATGCTGGAAACAATATATTTTATATTGCTTTTCACTGCATTTGTTTCTGATATTAACAAAAAAAAGGGTTAGATAAATAAAGGGTTACATGAAAAAAGGGTTAGATGAAAAAATGGTCAGATAAATAAAGGTTAGATGAAAAGGGGGATAAATAAATATTTAAGTACACAAATCTTAAACGCAAATAATTTTCTACTCTTGTTATCCATCATAGAGAACACTTCATAACAAAGACTCTTGCATATCTTAAAGTGGAGGATAGTTTCAAACACTTCATATGACGTTCTATTATCAATTTTTGATATTCAGAAAATTTTTATAATGGAAGTTAACCTAGGTTTCACGGAGATCACTAATGGAAGTGTCTTGACCGTTGATAGTCATAAAATGGATGGCACAAATTTAATTTAGTCCAGTGACAAATATCATCAACTTTAACGCTAAAATATCCCCTCGATTTTGAGAAAAACTGAGGTGCAAATATTTTTTTTAATTACATTATTTACAAAGAATATTAGAAACACAATATATTACAACAAATTCCCACTAGTACTCAAGGCTTACTGAATTTAACAAAAGCATAGCCTTTATTCAGTCCAATTCTGCAAATTAATAGTAAATCACACAAAATCATCAATCATCATTATTTTTAATGTATAAATATTGAATGTTCTTGAGAAGGAATTTGGCAGCGTATCTGAAATCTATTGGCATGCAGACAAAATCAAAGGAGAAAGTGTTTTCAACAACAGATCTTTGGTGGAATCCAAATTTTGTTGCATAGTTTTATGTTGGAAATCCAAAAAAAAAAAAACTCATAACTTATCCATCTTCGGATAAGTTATTTTAATTTTTGCACTTGCAATTCATCTCTTAGATCTGTTCTTAAACGTATCTAGTTCAAACATTTTTATGACAATGGACAGTAGTCAATATTTCATGTACCTGGTGCGGCTACATATAAGTTAGAATTAGGATAAAATCTGATAAACTAAGGTATTTATATTAAAAGCTGACTACTTTACCCTTCAGATTTAACTTATAACCGAGGTATATTATATTATCCATCACCCCGGATTTATGGAAAAACTGAGGTGAACTGTTTTTTTACTTACATTATTTACACAAAAAATTAAAATAAATATTTTAAAAACAAATATTTGTTCCTTTGAATGAATATCTTCGCTGATATACTATCTATCACCTCGGTTTTATGGAAACACCGAGGTGAAATGTATTTTTTTTTACTTACATTGTTTACACAAAAAATTAAAATAAATAGTTTAAAAACAAATATTTTCTCCTTTGAATGAATATCTTCGCTGTTATCCATCATCCTATTAGTTAAACTCCCTTCCTTGGGTAATTTACAAAGAAGGGAGCTTAACTTCCTTCATTGTTTCCTTGAAGGAAGAATAAATTTTCTGCACTTGCAATTTATCAACACCAACACCAACAACAACATCAACACTATTATGTGAGATAGATTGCAATGGCGGAAAAAAATGCTTAGTCCTATAAGAAAATTGAATGCTTTTTCTGTCTTGCAATCCATCCCAAAGAATGATGCAATTTCCAGTTTGATGTTGTTATAAACAAGTAAGGA